ATCATCCATCGATCCGTTGGTTGTACTTGGTCCATCGGTTCGATGGTTGGTCTTTCCATCGATGCTCTGGTTAGTCTTTCCATCGATCCAGACTTAGTCTTTTCTGCCTTGATGTCTTCATCGATCTTCTGGTTCTTCATCACTTATTGTTTTTCATTACTTTTTACATTTTGCATTGTGGGATCTAACAAGAAGTGACAAGGCCAAAGATAAAGTAGACTTGTGTTGATGGGAGGTCCTTACCCTTTGGACAATGCATATTTTTATCCATTGGACAAAGAGTTTGTACGGTCCTCACCCTTTCCTATATTTTGAAGACTTTCTCTCAGCTGAAAGCAATCCACTCCACCAGCAATTTAGCTAAGCAACCTTGGAGCATTCTCTCAAGCTTTACAGCAGTAGAGCAAGTTTAATTTCTTCTTGTAATATAATTTTCGTAGTTAGTCTTTAATTCTCGCGACTGTGTATTGTATGCCCTCTGTGGGCAACAGTTTAAGTATTATTTTCAGTTCAAGTATTTCTTATGCATTTTTCTTCTTCTGTTTCCGTTATGTTTTCTAATTTCATTATGAGCTAAGCACCCCTTTGGGTGTGGGTGTGAGTCAAGCTTAAGAATTTAAGGGCACACTTGGGTGTTGCCATTTTTATTGATTCTTAAGCTTGGTCTTTTAAGTCGAGACGTAAACTCAACCCAGATAGGCCGATCACTTTGAAGTGTTAATATTAGATCCTTGATCCAGAGATGGGCGGATTTGAAATACGGCTTAGATGATGCACAGAGATTTGAGAGTCTTTGATAATCACGCAGAGATGCGGGTTTTGCATGTTTTTAGCTTTTGTTCAGATATTAGTCGAGTTTATGCTACAATACGTTGTGAGTATAAATCTTCAGGCTAGTGGAACCATATATCTTTTTATCTAGTAGCTAATTCGGCAAGTTAAAGATTGATAAAACTGGGCACTTTGTGGGCACAGTATATAAGAATTCACTTTCGAGATATAGGAGTTCTTATAGAGGTCCCATTAGTCTCTGACCAAATTGTTCCTGCAATATTCTTAAGCAAAGCTTACACCTATACCCATCTTTTAATATTAAAGGTTTATTTCGTATTTTAACGCTTTGCACCAATCAAAACTCAACTTTTTTCTCAACTCGAAGCATTGTTCAAGAAGTTCATGAAAGTCTCTGATTCTCAGTAAGTCCGGTCCTTGTGGAAACAATCTTGGTACTATACCACTCTATTACTTGAAGCGATCATAGTGTCGGCGTGCACTTGCACCGCCACTTTGGGGAATTTGTGCTCACTGTGTGCACACTTACGATTTAGCCACACCAAGTTTTTTGGCACCGCTGCCGGGGACTGGTGTGATTTTTATCCTGAGATATTGATTTTCATTTGAGCCTTGATCAGTTGTTTCATTCGCTGTTCATGTGTTGTATGCCACAGATACAATACGGTGATCTTTTACCTCTTGATCTTGAGTTAGAAAGAGCAATTAGGAGACGAAGAAGAGGTAGAAACAATCGGCGAAATCCCAAGCGTACCATGGGGGATAATCCACCTCCTCGGGAAGCCACGGTCAATATTTCCGATGACAAAAATAGAGGCATACGGGACTTTGCAACTCCCGAATTTGGTCAATTGGCCTCGGGAATTGGTAGACCCGAAATGACAGCAACATCTTTTGAACCCAAGCCGATTATGTTTCAAATGATTTCTGTTCTGGGTCAGTTTGGGGGATTATCTTTGGAATATCCGCACTCTCATTTGAAATCTTTTATWGAAATGACGGATCATTTTAAGATTTCCGGAGTTACTCAAAAGGCCTTACGCTTGACGCTTTTCCTTTACACATTGAAGGATAGAGCTAGAGCATGTCTAAATTCCCAACCACCAAACTCGATCCTTACTTGGAATTATTTGGCGGAAAAATTTCTATAAAAATACTTTCCTCCGACAAGGAATGTAAATATTAGAAATGAAATAATGGTGTTTCGCCAAGAAGAATATGAAGTGGTATCGGATGCATGGGAGAGATTCAAGGACCTTCTTAGGAAGTGTCCTCACCACGGAATCCCTCAATGTATATAATTGGAAACCTTTTATAATGGGCTTTCTAGTGCCGCTAAGATTTTTCTTGACGCAACGGCCGGTGGTGCTTTCACAGCTAAAACCTACAACGAGGGGTATGACATTTTGGAACGAATTTCTAATAATAATACTGAATGGTCTAACCCTCGTGCTGTCATTTCTAAATCTGCCTCGGGTATTCATGAGCTTGATGCCATTTCTACTTTGAATGCCCAAATTGTTGCTTTAACTAATTTGGTTAAAAATAATTTAAACTTGAATGGGGAAAAGAATCAAGTCCAATCCATAATGTCTAATTCTTCCATGACTGAATCTTGTGTTTTCTGTGGTGAAAGTTATTCTTATGAGTTTTGCCCCGGAAACCCCGTTTCGGTAAATTATGATGGAAACCATACAAGAAATATCCCATTTTCTCCAACGTACAATTCAAATTGGAGAAACCATCCGAATTTTTCATGGGCCGGAAATCAAGGACTTCAACCCCCCGGGGCAACTCAAGTCCAAAACCGACCTTCGAATCCCCCGGGATTTAATCAAGGAGGTCATCACATGCACGGTAATCATCACATGCAAGATAATCATCACATGTACCAAAGTGGACAATCTTCACAATCACATGCGCCTAGGCAACAAAAATGCATCAGAGGGTAATGGTTCACTTGAATCTTTACTTAAAGGTTTTATAAGCCAAACCAATGCCACCTTGAGGAGTTTTGAGACCCAACTTGGCCAATTTGCCACGGATCTCAAGAATAGACCTCAAGGAACTTTGCCTAGTGACACAGAAACACCTAAGAAACATGTTAAAGCCGTGACTTTAAGAAGTGATAAGAACTTGGGAGACTCTAATGCCTAAAAGGAGACACCCATGGAGCCGATTTGTCAAGAAAATATTTCACATTCTTTTGACACATCGAAATTTCCAGTTCTGTTTCCTACAGGTGAAGAAACTCAAATTCCAGTTTCTGTTCCTGAAACAGCAGCTTTACCCAGTTCCAGCACCACCCAGTCTCCAACTGACACTGCTCACAGTGGGCAGAAACTACCCACACCCGAGCAGATTAAGACCGGTCCAACAGATTTAGATCTAAGAGATTTACCTTTTCCAGGCAGGATGAAAGCCAAAAATGTGGATGTTCAGTTTAAGAAGTTCTTGGACATCTTTAAGCAACTCCACATTAACATACCTTTGGTAGAAGCTCTCGAGCAAATGCCAAGCTATGTTAAATTCTTGAAAGACATCCTCAATAAAAAAAGAAGACTTAGTGAATTTGAGACTGTGTCTTTGACAAAGGAATGTAGTGCCCTTCTTACTTGCAAAATTCCCCCAAAGTTGAAAGACTCGGGAAGTTTCACCATTCTGTGCTCTATTGGAGGAAAATAAGTAGGTCATGCATTGTGTGACCTTGGGGCAAGTATAAATCTCATGCCTTTGTCCATTTTTAATCAGTTGGGAATTGGGGAAGTTCGACCTACTACGGTGACTTTGCAATTAGCGGATAGGTCCTTGGCATATCTGAAAGGTAAAATTGAAGACATCTTGGTTAAAGTGGACAAATTCATCTTTCTAGCCGACTTTCTAGTGTTACATTATGAAGCCGATAGGAATGTCCCAATTATCTTAGGGAGACCCTTTCTTGCTACGGGTAGGACATTAATTGACGTACAAAAGGGTGAGTTGACAATGAGAGTAAATGACCAGCAGGTAATTTTCAATGTGTTTAAGACTCTTAAGTTCAATAGGGAGATTGAGGATTGTTCGTCTATTTACTCAGTAGGTGAAGATTTAGATCTAAGTTTGATCGACTGTGTCCACATTGGAGACACTGTGGGCACGACATAAGACATTTGTGAAGAAGACTTACTTGAGGACATAGCTGCCTTTGAACAGTTAGATTTTAAAGATATACCAACCCAAACCCCGTCCATTGTAGAAGCATCCGATTTGGAGTTAAAACCACTGCCTTCGCATCTTAAGTATTGTTAGCTCTCATTTCATTCAAATGTAAAAGTATTGAAAACGTAATTTCTGCAAGTGTCGACAGAAGATGCCTACCACAGAAGATCACAGAGGACCATAAACAGAAGTTCAACGTACAAGTCAAAAGTGACAGAACCTCCGTTGTCTATCACAGAGGTTCTGGAAGAAGATCCTCAAGTGGTGAACAAGAGGAAATGTTGATAGATTTGCTGAAGGACCATAAGAAAACTTTCGGTTGGACCATAGCTGATATTAGGGGAATAAGCCCGTCCCTTTGCCAACATAAGATCATATTAAAAGAAAATAGTGTTGGGAAGGTACAACCTCAAAGAAGGCTAAATCCAATCATGAAAGAAGTGGTTAAGAAAGAAATCTTGAAGTGGTTAGACGCGGGTATTATTTACCCCATTGCTAGTAGCGGTTGGGTAAGTTCGATTCAATGCGTACCTAAGAAAGGTGGTACCACGGTAATCACCAACGACAAAAACGAACTTATCCCAACTAGAACCGTTACCGGGTGGAGGATTTGTATGGACTATAGGCAGTTGAACTTAGCTACTAAGAAAGATCACTTTCCTTTGCCTTTCATAGAGCAAATGCTAGATCGGTTGGCCGGGAAGGAGTTTTATTGTTTTTTGGATGGGTACTCAGAATACAATCAAATCCATATTGCACCCGAAGATCAAGAGAAAACTACTTTCACTTGTCCCTTTGGAACTTTTGCTTTCCGACGTATGCCATTCGGTTTATRTAATGCTYMGKCCACTTTCCAACGATGTATGATGTCTATTTTTTCGGATATGATTGAGGACACTATGGAAGTTTTTATGGATGATTTTTCGGTTATTGGCACTAATTTCGAAAATTGTCTTGAAAATTTGAAGAAAAGTTTGGAGAGATGTGAAACCCATGACTTGATTTTAAGTTGGGAAAAATGCCATTTTATGGTACAAGAGGGAATTGTTTTGGGTCACATGATTTCAAAGAAAGGTTTGAAAATTGACAAAGCTAAAATTGAGGTGATAATGCAATTGCCCGAACCTACTTCGGTCAAAGGCATTCGTAGCTTTTTGGGACATGCGGGTTTTTACCGACGGTTTATTAAGGATTTTTCTAAAATTACGAAACCCTTATGTAACTTGTTGCATGTTGACCAACCTTTTGAGTTCACCTCCGATTGTAAAAAGGCTTTTGAAACAATCAAGAATGCTCTTGTCTCGGCACCCATTATTATCACTCCTGATTGGTCCCTACCTTTTGAGGTAATGTGTGACGCAAGTGATTGGGCCATGGGTGCCGTTTTGGGACAAAGGCAAAATAAAATTTTTCACCCCATATACTACGCAAGTAAGACTCTTATTGAAGCCCAATTAAATTATACCACCACAGAAAAAGAATTACTTGCGGTAATATTTTCTTTTGATCGTTTCCGTTCATACTTGATTGGCACCAAAGTCACTGTTCATACAGATCATTCTGCAATAAAGTATTTATTTAACAAAGTTGATGCGAAACCACGACTTATTAGATAGATTCTTTTATTGCAAGAATTTGATCTTCTGATTGTTGACCGAAAGGGATGTGACAATCAAGTGGCCGATCCTTTCTAGAATTGAAGGAAATGTATCAAGTGGGGGGAGTCATGAGATTAAAGAAGTTTTTCTGGATGAATTTGTTTTGGCCATGCAACACAATTTTCAAAAACAAAATCCTTGGTATGCAGATATTGCCAACTATCTTGCATGTGGCCTTAAACCATATCATTTTCAGGGAAACCGGTTTAAAAAATTTCTTCACGATTGCAAGCATTATTTGTGGGACGATCCATCCCTTTTAAAATTGGGATCAGATCAAATTTTGAGAAAATGTGTCCCAGATGATGAAATCCAGGCTTTGTTAAAAGAATGTCACGCATCACCGTACGGAAGCCACTTTGGTGGACAACGTACGGCAGCTAAAATTTTACAAAACGGATTTTTTTTGGCCTACCATGTTTAAGGATGCTTTTGAATTTGTGAAGAGTTGTGACCAATGCCAACGCATGGGGAATTTGTCCCAAAGAAATGAGATGCCCTTGAACAATATTTTGGAAGTCGAATATTTTGATGTTTGGGGTATTGACTTTATGGGACCATTTCCCATGTCTTTTCACAATCAGTACATTTTGGTTGCGGTAAACTATGTCTCCAAATGGATAGAAGCAAAGGCTTGCCCAAGAAATGATGCCAAAACGGTAGTGGAATTTTTGCATAAAAATATTTTTGTTCGTTTTGGAACACCCCGAGCATTGATAAGCGATGAAGGGACTCATTTCATAAACAAAGTATTAAGTACCACTCTTGAGAAGTACAACATCCGACATAAAGTAGCCACGACTTACCACCCACAAACCAATGGTCTTGCGAAACTTTCGAATCGTGAGATAAAAAATATTTTAGAAAAAGTGGTTAAGCCAAATCRTAAAGATTGGTCGCTTAAATTGGATGATGCACTTTGGGCCTACCATACCGCTTTCAAGACTACATTGGGCATGTCTCCGTACCAACTTGTTTTTGGCAAATCTTGTCACCTTCCGTTGGAGTTAGAGTATAAGGCATTTTGGGCTATTAAGGAATTAAATTTAAATGCAACTCTAGCGGGAGAGAAAAGAAAGCTCCAACTCAATGAGTTGGAAGAATGGAGGTACCAAGCCTACGAAAATGCCAAAATTTACAAAGAAAAAACGAAAATATGGCACGATCGTAGGATCAATCAAAGAATTTTTGAGAAAGATCAAAATGTGCTTCTTTTTAATTCTAGGTTGAGGCTTTTCCCCGGAAAACTCATATCTAGATGGTCGGGACCTTTCACTATTGTTGAAGTGAGAAAGTTTGGAACTATCGATCTCTTGAACCCACAAGACAATACGGTTTTTAAAGTAAATGGGCATCGGGTCAAGCATTTCTTCCCTGAAGGAATGCAAGATCCACGCCAAAATTCTCTCTGATTAATTGTCTAACCTTCTGTTGTAAATAGTGTAAATATTTTTTTTAATTATGGTACTTTTTGTTTATTTCATGTAGGTATGCTCACAGTAGGCATCTCATGCTCACATTCTGAAGTGGGTTTTGGTTAATATTTTTTGAATATTGGCGGGTTTTTGTGGAATCTTCCAAGGAAATGAAAAAGGGAAATTAAGTAAAGAAATGGGTTTATTTTTGAAAAATAGTGATGATGATTTTTCTGAAAATGGAGGCTTGTGTAAGTGATTTGACTAGTACCATGACATCATTTTTTTCAAATCAATTGTCCTTACAAAGGTTTTGCATGCAAAGGGGGCGGTTACCTAGGCAATACCCACCGGTTATCTATGAAAAAGAGGGGAAAAATCATTTTTACTTCACTATTCATCTTCTCCTCTCTCTTTTCATGGCTAGAACAAGGAACAATCCAACCGGTCGGCCCCCTTATCGTCCGCCTACTCGCCGTTCTACTCGCCGGACCGTCGCCGGCCACGCATCATCCACCACTCCCGTACCACCATCGGTTGCTCCATCGATGCACTATTCTACGCCCCTCTCGCCGGACCCCATTGCTTTTGCTCCACCGGCAAGACATTCATCCACCGCCGACGCTGGTCAGTCATCCACCGTGCGGGTCGACTACGACGAGTATCATGCCATTGTCACTCCGGTTAGTATCACTCAAACTCCTCCCCTATTTACCATCATTTTTACCCCTTCCACCATTATTCACACTACCACCACCATCAGCGCCGGTCCGTCTACTTCACGACCGCAGGCCGCCGGCCGCCGTGACCCTTCCCCAACCATCGTCAACGCCACGACACCTTTTCCTTGCCCTAACCGTACCACCCTCTATCACCCCTCTATCTAACCCCATGCCACCACCGATTAACCCTACACCCACTCAACAGCCCCTATTCCACTTCCCTCAACACCACTCGGCCCACCCACCATACACGATTTTGACCTAAACCTTAGTGATACCTTAGGGGAGGAGTTCCATTTTGACTTTGAAGCCAATGCCTCCAATAATCCTGAAGATTTATTTCCTTTTTCTATTCCTGAGTCAATAGAAGTATCACCACATCAACCCCCTGAGACTCAAACAGAAAATGAACTTCCTGTTGAGGAAATACCAGTCACTGCCCCCAGTGGGCAGACTGTGAGCATAGAAACCTCCTCGGGAAGTATTGAAAGTTCAAGTTCAGAGTCTGTTATTCCTCAACCATTACCAAAACCAGTGCCTGAAGACAGTGATTATGAGGATGAGATGGCACATGACTTAGAAAATGCTGAAGATGTGGCCGAGGAAGAGGAGGAAAGGGAGGATTTTGAAGAAGAAATTCCAGAAGATGATGTTTTGGAAGTCAGTATGCCAAAACCTTCTAAAAAGAGGAA